GCTGCAGCTCTCATGTATATGTTTAATCCTATATCATCTGGTGTAGGACATCAAATAGTCGACTCCGATGACTATCGTCCTTTCCTTACTGGTTATTTAATGTAAATGATTGGTATATAATGTTAATTAAATTAATTTTCAATTCAGATTATAATAAATATAACAAGTTTTGACTAAATTCAAAATGTGCTCTCAACAATAATATTTTTTTACTTGTTGAGTTTGTCTGTTAAGACAAATATCATATGCTATTTATTCATTGCGGCCCACTCCACTTTTGTTCTATTTTCTTATTAATTTAATATATTTAGTGGGACAAGTTGTTATGATTCTTTCAGGTGGTGAACACTCTTTAATCATTTAATTACAACAATTCACCACCTTAAATATGGTGGATCTAAAAGAACTATTGCATACTTTCAGGCGGAAACAATAACGAAGAAGATTCACAATTCGATGAAAATAAACAACCTCTCTGGTGTTATATTTCACACATGGTAGAAAAATACAGGTAGATGCATCAACGCTTGGGAGCATTGATATGTCAAAATTTTTTAAATTTCTTTTCAAATATAAGTAGATTTTTATATGTTATCTTGTACGACGTAATTCGGAGTATATTATAATACTCTCTTTTCAACAATTTTTACAAATTTAAATAGGTTTTCTTTCAACATTTTCAATTCCAAATTTGGCTTGACAGTTCATTGTCCCAGCAGCTGTGTCGATGCATCTACCTATATTCTTCTACCATGATTTCACATCTAAAATTAAACAAATCGACGGTTATATTAAACATCAATAAAAAAATGTCTTTGTATTCTAAATTCATTTCCAGACTGTTGATAAAACGAGTTACAAATATGCTTTTTAAACAATTCCCGTTTATTTTTAAAATAAACACTTCTTTTGTGATATTGATATTCCAAGAAATTGAATTTTATTAATAATGAAACATTTAGGTATTATTCATATACAAATCGTTTTAATTGAAAGAAGGAGGGTTTGGGAGATTTTCTTCCTTTCAACATTCCATAGAAAAATTGCTCCACATTGTGTAACCGCAAAATGCATGCAATTAAATGTAATTATAGTCCACTGGTGGACACATCCATGAAGTCCGCTAAATAGTAATTGTTTCAGAACGTAAAACGACATTATTGGGAGTTTCCGGAAACTTTGGTATTATAAAGTTATACCATAAAAGGGTGGTTACATAGAGTTTGTTTGTTCAACCATTTGACCCTGAGAAACTGAAGGTGAGAATAGCTTTCAGACTAAAAGTAAAAGCGGTTAAATGAATTGTTTTTCATCGGTCATATTTATTTTATCGGCCATATTTGAATTTTTATTGTGCCTTCAATATTTGATATTTATACTCTCAGCCATATGGTCGAAGAGGGTATTTATTAAACGTGTCTCATCGAAATAACAGTCGTAGACCCCAGGTCTCTTTGGACCAAATCCGTTTCAGGCCACTTGGTGTAGATCTAGGGGTGTCCGTCCGTATCTCTGGCTGGGCCGGTGAATTTTAATTCTGCTTTCAATTTTTGCTATTTATAACCACAGCCATATGGTCGAAGAGGATATTTATTATTTCATGCGGCCAAAACGTGTCTCATCGAAATAACAGTCGTAGACCCCAGGTCTCTTTGGACCCCAGGTCTCATGATAACTCTCGAAAGGAGTTTCCGATATGGTCCAATCTAGGTACATCGTGATATTATTATCAAACTTAGATTGAGTTCAGAGATGGACAAAACTGGTCCTCACCTTCTGGTACCTCTCCCACAAAGGTCAACATTCTGAATAGCCAAATCAATTTCAAATTTCACGCATCCCAATATTGCTACCAAAACAATATCCTCCACAACGGCTCCGATTCATCTAAGCTTCGCGCATTCCAATATTTCCACTAAAATAAGATGTGGTGTGAAGATGGAATATACCGGTTCACTCCTTCTGGGTCCGTCCTATAAAGGGTAACAATCTTGAATAATCATAATGTAAGTCAATATATATGTAAACAAAAAGACATTGTCTGAGGGTATATATCTGTCATCATCTGATCTAACATTTGATCATAGATCTAACATTTGACAAAGTCCACGTATAACGGATTTTTATTTTTTTAATATGGAGTTCTAGTATCTGTGCTAATCGCACCGAGATACGTTTCCATGATCCTCATGAAGAGCTTATATACAATTAACTTGTTATTTTATTTTTACTATTCCTAATACTTTGACATTTCTATAATAAATATTCCAAATTTTCTTAAGAAAAACTGGAACAATAATTAAAGACTTTCGTAAATTATGGCTTGTTGTAAAAACGTCCCCGGTGAGGATCGAGAATTTCGTCCAAATTATTCATTCAAAGCTTTGAGTGAAAAGTTTTACGCTCGTCATGACAACATCGACTCGGTGAGCAGTCGTTTAACGCGACTTCCTTATTTTGAAGCAGAAATTGAAAAACGAATGAACTATGATGCCCGCAAGCGTTATTATGCTCCCATTACTGAAAACCAAACCTATGGGTGGCTCGAATATTTAGCTGAAAGATATACCGGTCTTGATGGGGAGATTTTAATGCACCAGTTAACAAGCGACGATGTGATGAAGATGGAAAAAGAAATCGCCATAGATGTAATACGAGAAAAACAATTAATGAAACTATAAAGTGATGACAGAATCGGACGATATAGCTATCTTGACGCTCGTCTCTGTGGAGATCTGGTGAAAAAATTTTAATTAATTGTATGGACTAATTTTTCAGACGAATAAAATCAGATTATAAATTCGTATAAATTTCTGAATTACTATCTAGGTGTTCTCAATTTATGCTAGTAAAGAAAGGTCAGAAGTCTGGCGGGGCCTACACCACTATTCATATTTAGTAGGGCTTCTCGTAACAAATAAACATTTATTTGGGGATTTTTGTAATCTGCAGAAACTAATATAGGTATATATGGGAGCTATATTTACATTTGAACCGATTAATCCTTGAGCCAAACAAAGGATTTGTGGTAACTTTCAACCCAATCGGACAATAAATGCGACCTGTACTTTGTTTACAAAAAAAAAAAAAAAAAAAAAAAACAAGTAAAAAAGCTGTAATTTCGTCCCGGTCGAACTTTGAATACCCTCCACCATTTGGAACAAAGTTGTAAATTTTCAAAAAAATAAAATCCGTTAAAAATTATATTAAATCCTAATAAAAATACCAAATGTAGCCGTTATAGTAGGGTTATAGGGTTTTACGACGACGTGGACCTGCATCATCAAAATACCGAATATAGGGAGGTATTATATGGGGTCTATACCAAAACGTGGTCCTGCATAGGCAATTTTCTGTCACAGACTGTAGTTTCCATTACGAACTCTAAATACGTAATTTGAAACATTTCCGCTTAATAATGTCGCTAAAACCATCAGAAAAATACCGAATATCGGTAAGTGCCGTTATATGGGGGCTATATGAAAACGTGGACCTACATGGGCCATTTACGAACTTAACCTGCCTACTGGAAATATAAATATGTGTGTAAAATTTTAGCCTTCTATCTCCATTCGTTCGAAAGATAACGTAAATACAACAGACAGACAGACGGACATCGCTAAATCATCTGATATGAGTATTTCGAGGAGTTACAAACGCAATGACAAAGTTAATATACCCTCCATAGTATGGTGGAGGGTATAAAAAGTGCAAGAACTTACAGCGCAACAGTCAGCTGAAAATGTGCAACTTCGGTTGGCCACAAGAACTCAAGCGCCGGGCATGGTGATTGTGTGGGCCGCAATAACAGCCGATGGTCGCTCTTCGCCCGTATTAATCGATCGTGGCATCAGAATAAATGCCGAATATTATCGCGAAAATATTCTATAGGATGTATTAAAGCCTTGGGCACGCAAACATTTTGGCCGCAGACCTTGGACATTCAAACAGGACTTAGCACCATCGCACTCAGCACGCTCCACACAAGAATGGTTACAAAATGAGGCTCCTCGCTTCATTTCCGGCGCACAATGGCGACCAAAATTTCCGGATACCAAACCGTTGAACCATTGTGTCTGGAGTATTTTGGAAAGCAATGTTGGCACTAAAAAAAGCTAAAGTGTCGATCACCTCAAGAAAGCGCTTCACCGGGAATGGGCCAAAATACTCCAGAGCAACTTTCGGGCAGCATGTGACGGTTTCATTGACCGTTTGAAGGCCATAATTCGTGCCAAAGCTGACCAATTCGAACAAATTTAAACTTATTCTAAAATTTTATGCTATTTCCGGTATTTTTTGCTTTCATTCAATAAAATTAAAAAAATGTAAAAAGCCTCCGTCAAATTTGTTGAAAATCGATTCAGGCTTCAATATAGTTCCAATATTGTGACTACTCTAAAGCCATGATACGCATTCAAATAATGTTTATAGTTGATATGAGCTTCTTCAAATAAATTCCCAAACAAATAATGATGTAGGGTATCATATAGTCGGCTTCGCCCGACTTTTCACCTTTACTTACTGATTTTGTTTTATGTGGGAGCGTTTCCGAGGCACTCCTGTTTTGAAAAATTAGAGTGGAAGTCGAAATGCTCAATATAGAGCAAGATTTTGCTCTAAGAGTGAAATGGATGTTATTTTGAAAAATAAAAACTTCCCATCCCTGTGTGTAGTTTAGAACTCTGAACCCCCATCCCAATACCAATACAGAAAAAACACAAAACCATTTCTCTTACAAATTTCAAAACTACACCCCAAATTCTTTCTTTTTAACCGAAATATTTATCAATAATTAACAAAAGAAATTATTTAAAGAAAACTTGACAAAACAAAAAAAAAACTATTGCTCATTATTATTTTTACAATCGAAGAGAGAGTGCGTGTTGAAAGAGCAACAGAACTAAATAAGAGCATGAAAAATATTTCAATAAAGAATATTTGAACATTTAAACAACCAGTCGGTCACTCGCAGCAACAAATATAACTAAACTGGAAACGTTCGAATACGTTCAGTTGAGTTTGAATTCTTGTTGTGTTCGGAAGTAACATACGGAAAATAGAATAAAATATAGCTAAACTATATAGAAGATATTAACCCAATTTTGTTTTGTTTATCGAGAAAAGATAACAAAAAACGAAACAAATATTTGTCAACACGAGTTTTAATAAAGAATTGTTTAAGAGTTTTAAAAGCCTTTTTGCAGAACATTAAAAGTAAACTAAGAACAATATGACTTGTGATCAATATTTAACCTTCAATAATGGCATGAAAATGCCGGCTTTAGGCTACGGCACCTGGCAAGTAAGTATTATTTTGCATGTTTGAATAAGTTTGATTATTGTTGGCAGGTGGGCGATGACTTTTCTTAAATTAGATATGGCACAAAATTGAAAAAAATATACAAATCTAGCACCATTAAAGGGCCTTCATCTTCTACCTTTAAAAGGTTTTTGTGTATAAAGATATATTTTCCCTCCACCATAATATGCAGGATAAATTAAGATTGTCATTCCGTTTAAAAAATATACATTTTAGACTTCTGCTATTGATAAAGGTCCACATTTTGGTATAGCCCCCATATAACTGTACCTGCAGATTTAAGGTCCTTTGGCAGGTTTGGTCCCAATTTGAACCCAAATTTGCTGTAAATTAGTAGTGGTTGGGGTTCCAGTACTTAGAAACATCCTTACATAAAACTATCCATATTGGTCCAAGTTTTGGTACAGTCCCCATATAACTGTACCTTCAGATATTCGCTAATTTGAGGATTTGTATAACACTTTTCACCGAAAAAATTCAAACATGGAATTTGAAGTTTATAATGGGTTCTACAACCTGTGACGGAAAATTGGCTATATTCGGAATTTTGATGAATTTGGCGACATTAGTCACCGGAATTGTATTAAATTTCATGTTCGATGTTCCTAATGGATACAACAGTCTATGACAGAAATATACATATGCATAACCAGTCATTTTCAACGCAGTTTTTTTTTAATTTATAAATTCTTTCTAAACCGTGGAGGATATTCGGCTTTTCATACTGCTTTTTCACTTGTGAATATTTCTGTTGTCGAAGCTCTTAAAGAACGTAATAAAAACAAAAGAATACATCATTATTGGTCGTCCCATTTTATCACGAAAGTGTGAACAACACTGACACTTTCTACACCTCAATCAGATGTTATTGATGGGATGGGTACAGGTAGATGCATCAACATAACTATTTCTTAATGAGAAAATTATGTATGAAAACCTTTTGGGTGCCCAGTGTTAATGTTATAACCGGTTTTGGCTGACAAGATGATGTTGAGCTCAGAATTAGGTCGTACTTACAGACAGAGGTGGGTGCACGATCATCAAGTGCACACACATAAAGACACAAGCTGAGATTTTTAATGTTAACACAAAACCTGTTTGAGAGAATTTTCCATTGAGTAGATTAAATTACAGTTGTAAAATTGTGACGTTTTCTGACTCTGTTGCAGGGATGGGATGTGGGAATTGTGAATTTAAAACAAGTTAAAAAGTATCAGTCGATTTTGCCGACAGATGTACAGGGTGAGATAAAAAACTGCAACAAAGTAAAACGCCGTAATTTTTACACTATTTTTACAATTTTGAATGAAAGCAAAAAATGTCGGAAATAGCATCAGATTTTAGAATAATTTTAGATTTGTTCGAATTGGTCACCGTTGGCACGAATTGTGGCCTTTAAATGGCCAATGAAACCGTCACATGCTGCCGAATGTTGCTCTGGAGTATTTTGGCCCATTCCCGGCGAATCGCTTACTTGAGTGCTAATCTTGCTTTCCAAAATACTCTAGACACAAAGGCCCAACGGATTGTTATCCGGCGATTTTGGTGGTCATTGTGAGCTGGAAATGAAACGAGGAACCTCATTTTGTAACCATTCTTGGGTGGCGCGTGCTGAATGCGATGGTGCTGATTCCTGTTGGAATGTCCAAGGTCTGCGGCCAAAATGTTTGCGTGCCCAAGGCTTTAATGCACCCTCCAGAATATTTTAGCGAAAATATTCGGCATTTATTCTGATCCCACGGTCGATTAATACGAGCGGCCCACACCATCACCATGAGCGGCGCTTGTGTTCTGGTGGCCAATCGAAGGTGCACATTTTCAGCTGACTGCTGGACAACGAATGTTTTCTCATCGAAGAAAACCAAATTCGGCAGTTCACTACTTTCGCCAAGCAAAGCAACTCTTTCGCTCTTTTAAGTCTATTTTCTTTCTGTTACGGTGTAAGTTCTTGCACTTTTTTTGAATTTCAATGGCTTTACCCCGAGCTCATTTTTCAATATTTACCGAATGGAATATTGTGATATGTTCAGCTCACGAGCCATTTTTCGGCCACTGCGACACGAGTTTCGGTGAAGACACTATGAAGTGATGCATTTATATCACCTGATAATCTGAAACGCTACAATACTAATTTAATTGGGAAATGGTACCGTTATATTGGGGTTGTGCCTTAATGGAAACTAACACACCGAAGTAGTAGTAAATTTGAAAATACATATTTTGTGAACAGTTTGCATGAACAGGTGGGTAAAAATAGATACCTTACAGCATAATTTCAAAAAGTTACGAATTAAAAATTGCTGTACATTTAAACAGGAAAAGTTAAATGTATTGCAACCAATTGGTATTTCTAATATTCGCACACATTTCTTACAATTATTTTGGCAGTACTTTTACTGTGGCGCCCAATATGGAGTACATACAACAAAAATTACTTACAAATAATAATATCTTATTAAATTAGCCATATATAGTGATATTTATAGTTATACACTTTGTGGCGCCCAACTCGTGGCACAAAAGAGGAATTTTATAATTGCCTATTAATTTTTACAGCGCCTGTTCCAACATGCCGCCTACACAGATTGGTTACTATTAATAGAAATATGTTTTATATTGTTATCATATCAATTGTCATTGCGTGGCGCCCAACTTAGGCATTAAATCGCACGATATAGGCGGCTTACGGAACGGGGAAAAAACTTTCGACGAACCCACCTCTCAATAAGTCCATTGTTACGCTTTCTGTTTGGCATGTGTCTCTGTCTTGTTGTGCACAAAAAGTTGTATATCATTCACCATAGCGATCACGATTCACAGTTACGTTACAATTTGCAGCATCTTTGAAGAAATGCGGTCCAATGATGTTATCACCAAACTGTGACTTTTTCTTCACTCCGAAATCGACAATTCGTCTTATTTACCCATTGAGACAAAAATTAGTTTCGTCGCTGAACACTATTTCCTAACAGATCGCCATTTTTGAAAATAAAATTCAACGATTCAAGGAGTTGTTATTTTGTTAGACGTTTCATGGTGAAATTATAGATCAAACTAAAGATGTTCGAGAGTTAACAAATAATAGCTACAAAATCACTCTTTATAACATAAACCAACAGGTGTGTAGACAATTTAAAATCTGATAAATTATGTGTTGTCAAATTGCACAAAAATAAGAGGCGTTTACGCATTTTTATATCCTAACTACAATTTGGTAAAAAACCATTACAATTACCTACATTTCATATTCCTAACAGCAGGTCCCTTTAAAACGCTACTTTGCAAACAATTTATTTACGTAATAATTATATGCCGAGTAACTATGTTTTCTCATATAGTATATATTTACACGACAAATACAAAGTATGGCATAAATTACAACGTGTTGGTCAGTCCTTCCACAATGCCAAGTTCATCGAGAAAGAGACATTACTCAGCTCAACTAAAGTTCGATAAATAATTGAGTATTCGTGACAAATGTGGTCGTCACCTGCTGTTATTTATAAAAAAATGTTATACGTCTGAAAGCTAAAACTTGTATAAATGTAATCTGTTGAATTTGTACGTATGTATGTATATCGGTGCAATGGTATACACTTGCATAGATGTATATAACGAATATTTAATTAGAAAAAAGAAAAGAAATGTGTTATTAATTCTAACTATTTTTTGTTAATTATTCCATGAGCTACTGATAGTTAAAGATAATATTTATAAAATCTGGATGGAAAATTCATGGAATACTAAAGCAATTTTTTCAAAGTTTTACTGAATTATTAGATTGAAGACAATTGCAATGCACAATTGCAATTATTAAATTGATTACTTTGGCTCCAATACAATCCTTAGTATCTTAAATTCGAAATAAAATCTATATATACTATGTAAATGGAAATCATTTAATCAAGATTTGGCATAAATCGATTTAATATATGTAAAATTTAACAAGTCATTTCATTTTGCCAATATATGTTTAACTTTAAAGGCCCGTGTCATAACAATGTAATTTCTTTTTTTCCGCTAAGAATTGTTCTTTGTAAGAAAACTATAAAGACTAAATAGACAGCATTCTCGTAATCAGCTAATTTGTCAAAATAAGGTGAGAATGTGTCAGATAAGGCTGGGTTTAAAACCTACTAAATATGATACTAAATCTGGAACAGTTTATTTTAGGGTGAACGGATGAAGCTGAAATAAAGAGGTGGTCTTGGAAATGTGTATTAAATGGTACAAATTTGGAATTGAGTGAAGAGAAGGGACAGAGCTGAAATAATGAAATTTGGTATAGATGTAACCAGCGCCCAACGTCAACAGCTAATTTAATACGTGTATCTTATACTCATAAAACATTGAGGAGAATTGTTGAACTATAGAATTAGAAATAATGTATTCCTTAGTATGTCCTCTGTGGTTCCCAACATAACTTATTAATCTGTTAACTGATTAGCAACTTACTAAAACTGGAGGAAAATTTTGGAATTGTTCGAAAACTTTGTAAACTATGGCGCCCAACTTTGAAATACAATGTTTTTCCAATTGCATACATATTAATTTATTATTCTCCTTTTTTAAGGCGCCAGACGATGAAGTTGAAACGGCTTTACATTTTGCCCTAGAAGCTGGCTACAGGCATATCGATACAGCCCCGGTATATATGAATGAAAAGGCTATCGGACGTGTTCTCAAAGAATGGTTAGATTCGGGTCGTGTCAAACGTGAGGAGTTGTTTATTACCACAAAGCTACCACCGCCAGGTAAGAAGAGTAGAAATCGATGGAACTGCACTACTATTTACTTCCACATTTTCGGTTTGTAGCCAATGTTCCCGATTATGTTGAGCCAACATTGCGTAACTCCTTGGCCGACTTGCAATTGGATTATATCGATTTATATTTGATACACACCCCGTTTGGTGTTATGATGGAAAATAACGATTTCAAGCGTGATGAAAATGGACTTATTGTCGTGGATCCTACCACAGATCATATTGCCGTTTGGAAGGTAAGATATCGATATATAGTTCCAGATTGTAACTAAAATGTGTTGTTTTGTTTTCAATATTAGAAAATGGAGCGACTATTAGATTTGGGTTTGGCCAAATCAATTGGCATTTCCAATTTCAATCAGAAACAAATCCAAAGGGTTTTGGATAACTGCACAGTTAGGCCAGCAAATTTACAGGTAAGAACAGATTTGATTCAAGCTGTGCTCAACGATTAAACACACCTTTCCCCAGATTGAACACCACGTCTATTTGCAACAACCCGAGCTAATTGATTTTTGCAAAACAGAAGGCATTACCGTAACCGCTTATTCACCACTCGGTTCCAAGGGTATTGCCAATCTTAACAAAATGGCTGGCGTTGAGAGGGAGTTGCCGGATCTTATGGATATTCCAGAGGTAAAAGAAATTGCTGAGGCCCATGGCAAAACACCGGCCCAAGTTCTACTTCGATGGATATTGGATAGCGGCGTGGCAGCCATACCGAAAAGCACCAATGCCAAGCGTCTGAAAGAGAATTTAGACATTTTCGATTTCAATCTGACCGACGAAGAAATGGAGAAAATGAAATCTCTGGATGCCAATGTACGCATCTGTGATTTTAAATTTTTCCCAGGGTAAGGAGATCAATATATATTTTTAAATACTTTTACTTCCATTGTTTCTTTTTACAGTGTGGACAAACATCCTGAATTCCCATTTTAAGGTCTCTCGAGAAGTTTTTACATTTATTGAAATCTGTATTTTACTTGTAGCTGATATCCACAATTTGCTTCGTATTGCAAGCTTGAAATGTTAAAGAGTATTTTTTTAATTAATTTATAATTTGCCCTCAATAAAGTGTTCGAAAAATTGTTTGAAATTTTAGTGATCTAATAATTTCTTAGAGTAATAGGACAGACCATTCGGTTCTTTGTAGTTTGAAAACGTTATACTATTTTACATTTTTTTTAATAATCTTGGTTCCCTTGTCTAAAAAACTAGTAAAATTTGCGGGAAGAATGAAGAGAGTACACACAAATACGGCGTTCTCTTTTATTACTTTTTATGCCTCCACCATAATATGGAGGGTATGTTAAGCTTGTTGTTCCGTTTGTAACACCTCGAAGTATGCATTTGAGGCACCACATTTAGCGATGTTCGCCCGTCTCTCTGTCAGTCCGTAAGTGGAACTCACTCTAGCTTCCGAACGAAATGAAGTAGGTTGATAATGTTTTACTCAGATGTTTAATATGTCAGCAGGACTTTTGGTATTGAAAATGGGCTATATAAGTCATCATTTTGGTATAGGCCCCATATAACTGTACCGACAAATTTAAGGTTTTACAGGTGTTTCAGTTACAATTTTAACCCGAATTTCCTCCAAGTTGGCAGCGTGTATCCCATATATAAGAAACATCTTTGCATAGAACTATTAATATAGGTCTATGTTTAGGTATAGTCCCATATAACTGTGCCTCCAGATTTTCCATGTGTTAATGATTCATGGCACAGTTTTCACCGGACAAAAATTTTCTGTACAAGTCCTTTTAAGTTCTGAATTAGGAGTTCGTAGTGGGCACTGCTTCCTATGACAGAAAATTGCAAATACACATTCACGTCGGTAAAGATACACGTTTTCGTATATATTCATATCACCGTAACTCCTGAAATTCGGATTTTTCTAAATTATAGCGAGATTTTTCAACTGAATTTTTTTACATTTTGAAAGCTCCTTTCAAATGGTGGAGGGTATAAAACGTTCGGCCCAGCTTCTTTTTACTTCTTAGTAGACAAATTGTTCCGAGCCTAATATATGGCACCAAAGGTAGATCAGGATCTATACGCAAAGTTGCATTATATTGTTATATTTTTAAAATATATTATTGATATATTTTTAAAATACAAAAAAATTACTATGTTTCAAAATAAATCACACATTGATTAAAAAATAAAATCGAATATTTCGTATTTACAAGAAAAAAACATCTCAAGAAGTTGGTACAAATGTTGTTGTGACAATTTTCAGTTCCACTGATCTCCTTGGCAGATCAAGAGAGACGTCCTTTGCTTGAGTTAGTTGTAAATTTACTGGTTTCGATATTTCTTGTTGACTTAAAGAACAGGGAGTAGTTGCATTTGAGATATCCTTTAAAGGCATTTCGGTAGGTAAATTGTGTCTGTTCGCCGTGGGAACATTTTCAGGAACTTTGTTAGGTTTGAGTATCTCTTCATATATTGACTAGTTGTGATTTCTTTTTCGTCGCCTTTCTTGACATTATTGGGGGATATTGCATCATTTGAGATGTCCTTTGTAGGCGCTTGAGTAGATAAATTGTATTTGTTGTTAGGATTGAGTATCTCTCTATCAATTTGACTAGTTGGGATTTCCTTTTCGTCCTCTTTCTTGGCATTATTATTGGATGTGGTATCAGTCTCTTTGAGAAGATTTGTGGTGGTATTAACTGTTGATTTAGCTTTAATATCTTCCTTTCCCGTTGAGCATTTGTTTTCTTCCTTGGGGTAGATTGAAACCGGATTTGTATTTTGAATTGAAATTTTAGCGGATTTCTTTTTGTTTTCGGTGTTTTGCTTCTGTTGAACATTTTGCATGTCCACAATGGCATTTACCACATCCACTTGGCTACAAAGGGGGAGACATAAAAATAAAAAAATATTGAAAATAAACAATTTAGAAAAAATATTTTTAGAATAGTTTGTAGAAATTATCATCAATGTGCGCTTTCACAAATTTTATTTAATTTCAATATTTCAAATTAAATCTAAAGTATTTTTAGAGCTTAGATTTGCCAGTTTATACTTGCGAAGGGTGCCTAGAGTTTATACAAAGTTTACCATTCTCTGTATTGTTTAAAGATATTTTTAGTCTATTGTAGCCTATAAAATTACAATTTTTTTCACCCCATTTTAATTGTCCGAGCATCAAATTATCTTCGAGACAGGAGCTGAAATTGCCAAGGCAATATTTCAATTTTGAAACATTTCCGGTAAAAAGTGTGACACAAATCATCAAAATACCAAATATCTGAATGTACAGTTCTACGGGGACTATATCAAAATCTAGACCTATAATGACAGTTCTATGCAAGGATGTTTCTTACACAATGGAAACACATGCTACCAATTTACAGCAAATTCGGGTTGACATTGTGACTAAAACAGCCAAAAAAATTAAATCTATTGGTGAAACAGTAACCTGAGGAAAAAAAAGTAACAAACATTATTTTTCACTTCCCAGTCTTCGCAAACGTTAGAACGCCGCTCTTGAAACCATACCAAATCTTCAGGGGCCAAATCACCGCATTCGTCATCGAGTTCTGTTTCGTATAGAGAAACATTTCGATCGCTGTAAATTTTTGGATAACCGCTTTCGATCGCAAATTATTTTGTCTACTACTTTTTTTACATTGCTGTAAACATATGGTAATAAGAAATTGGAAGCTAAAGAGAATTTCAAAATAAGTTTTTGCAACCAAAATATGTTATTGCTGAGAAATTTATATTGTTTCTGTGTGTTTAAATGCATGTGTACAAATATATTATGAATGCAAGTGTTTTTTTGTTTTCCTCGTCTTCGGACTCAGAGCATGAGTACAATGGCATTAATAAGGAAAAATATTCGTGACAAATCTAGTCCTATAACATTGCCTGAAGTGGCGTAAGTGATTTTATTTAAAATCGAATAAAACCGCCAACTTCTTGTTTCTTTTTGTTTGCATTTTTTCCGCACAAAAATCACTACATACTTTGTTTTCGATGGCATACTACCTATCGTGTACAACTTCGAGTAAAAACAATTCGATAACGACCGCGGTGATCCGGGTAAACTACTTTACGATGCTGAAGTACTTGATTTCGACTGCGGTGATTTGGCCCCAGATCAGAATATATGGAAAAAAAGTTCACTATTTAATACGAAATACGGAACTGAATTTTATACATTCTTAATGTAGCGGTAAATGACCCTTCTTTTAGCTTGTAAGTAGTAGAAATAGAGAAGATATTAAAAATAGAGCAGTAGAAAGAAAGCACTTGAAAATTAGAATTGGCATTAAAAAATTGTAGGGAGCAATATTTGTTAGAAGCGCAAGTTCTGTCCTTTACTAAACACAAACACATTCAACCAAACATAACACCATTTTGAATGTTTTATCTATGTGCAGTATTTTGGATGTAAATAAAGAGTATTTCTGCTACGAAAAAAAAAACTATGTTTCTTTAATAGGTTGGGTTACAACCAACCCAACGCTCTTTGTACAAAAAACTACTTCGTTTCATACTATAGTAACACGCTTACATCAATACATTTGATAGAAAATATGCTATCAATATTTAAACTTATTTCATCAGAAAAACTTTAGCAACATGCGCATACCTACCTATACCTACTTTTGTGTTTTCGAATTGAAATAAAACATTTGAAGTACTTTTTGCTTTTGTATTTTTTAGTTTAGCATATTTGAGTTAGAATTCAAAAAGCTTAAAAAGGTTTTTAACGATTTTTTTGGTTGTTATACTTATTCATATTTAATTATTAACAGGCATTTTCTTGTTTTGTTAACTATAGAAAAAAGTAAATATATTAAAAAATAAATTCATATTACAATTGTTTTCGTGTTTTTTGTTTTGTTTGGAAATTTAATTTCTTTTAATTACAACTGAATTATTTTAATTACATACAAATATATTTATTCGAGGTAGTAGTGCTTTTTGGAAACACCGTGTGTGTTGTTTTTTAATTTTTTAACAAAATAAGAAGGGAATTAGGATTTTGGAAGAAAGAAAACTTATAAAATTGAAACATTTATACATTTTTTTTCTGGTAAATAAAAATTATCACTTTGTTTAGGGGAAGGGTAATGGAAGGGGTATGTTCAGTAATAAAAATTAATGTCAATTAAAGAATTACAGAAATACAAAAAAAAAAAAAAAACAAACAACAAACTAAACAAATTTTACACAGGCCAAAAATAATGTTAAACGGTACAGTGGGTAAAATACAGTAAACACTATTGGTATCACATATTTATTTATCGGTATTATATTTCCAGCCGATTTAGTTAGAACATAATATATCCCATGACCCCTTGTCAGCCCTTTTAGAAAGTTGGTTTATATTTTAATTCATGTTGATATATATGTTCTAAACAATTTCGAATGTTAGATGTTTAAAGAACATTCTTCAGGTCTTATATGAAAAGACCTTTAAGTCTTGCATGGAAACAACTTTAATTGTTCTGCGAAAAAATGTTTTTCTCCTATGTGATCGGTTACACTTCCTTTGATTACAATTAATCCTTCCCAAAGACAGGCATTCTGGTTTTAAAAATAACTTTGTCAAAAAAAAAAACAGTAAAAAGGTCAAAAGTCGGGCATAACAAAAATATTTATATTGGGAATTTATGGAAGTAGATCATAGCAATTGTGAATCTTTTTTGAACGTATATTATAGCTTTAGACCAGTTATACTTTGGAATCGGAGGATACTAATATATGGGATGTATACCCAACTCTTAATCGATTTCCACCAAATATTACGAAGACATTTGTACCTCTCGAACCAAATAATATTGTTAAAGAGTGTTTCATATGATTATATTAAAAAATATTTATCGAAGATCTAAATATATGGGAACCGAGTTTCAACAAATGTCTTATTTGCAGTTGAATGTGCAAAAATCCATCTTTTTTGGGCTGGGGTCCCATGGTGCCCAATAACCGTCAAATCGGATGAAGATATATATGGAAGCTGTATCCAAATCTCAAACGATATCGATCAAATTTGACAAATATCATTGTTGTGGAGTGCATAATACGAATATAAGGTCTTAGCTATAAATATATCTTAACTAGTTTTCATCAAATTTGAAGTGCTTGCTTCTGAATTGGATTCATCCAAATTCATTTCATTTGGAAGAATATATATATGGGAGTTATATCTAAATCTGAACCGATATTCACCAAAATTACCAGACATACTTCTGGACTGAATATGGCCGTCTATGCTAAAATTGATTTCGTTCGGATTGATATTACGCATCTGGTGCACAATACTTATGAAATCGGACGACACTATGTATGGGAGCTATATTAAAATCTGATCCGATTATCACCAATTTCAATGATTAACAAATGATTTTTGAATGATTTTTGGAAAATTTCATCTCAATCAAAAAATAAATGCGACCTGTACTTTGTTTACAAAAATAAATAAACAGACGGACGGACATGCATAAATCGACAAAGAATGTGATTCTATGAAGATCATCATTGGGACTTATTGGTCTATTTCGTTTCCTTTAGCATGTTACAAACGAATTCACAAAGACATAATACTCTGTACCACAATGTGGCGTAGGGTATATATACAATACTGTCATTTTACCCATTGTATCGACATTTAAACATCGGACGGTGTTTTAGTAACCTAATAACACTACATCGTATTGTAGTGAAATATAAAATAAAAATTTAATATTGTATACAACATTTTTGTTAATAAGTGATCGTCATGTTTTTTGGAATACATTCATACTTTAATAAGTACTGTTTTGGTTTTAACCAGTATTAAATAAATAAATATTTTGTATTTAAATTCATTCGTTGTCAAATTCAAAGAGTATTAGTGTAGATGTTTAGTAATTGTAGTAGTAGAAGAAGTCGTAGTGGTGGTAGTAATTTTAGAAAAACGTTAATAAAACATTTATTTAAATCCACAATTTGTTTTCAAAATAAGACAATTTTTTAAATAAAAGTTTTTGGTTTGTTTCTGTTTTTGTTTTAGTTGTTTTAGTAGTAATAACAAAAGGAATGACGACGTACACTGAAAGAAACAAAACTTACTGAGAAAGAAACTCAAGAAGAGAAAACACATAAAGATCGGAAATAAAGCCAAAAGAAATGGAAAATGAAAATAAGTCATGTTTTGAGTAGAGTCTAGTATTAGTGCGTTCTAAGCGTTAAACGAAGAAAATGGAAGGCTGGGAATGTGTGTTAATACTTTTTGTTGTTGTTTTTGTTTTCTGGTTTGAGTTATTTGAGGTTAGTATAAGTTAATACACATATGTTTTGTCTGTTTTGCTTGCAACTACAAATTTTTGTATAATTTCTTTTTGCTTTTGATTCGATTTGGAAAAAGAAGTTTACTTAGTTTTAGCATTGTTGTTCTATATACGTATGTGTATGTATGTGTTTTGTCTACGGTTTATTCTGCTAGTCTAATTAAAAAATGGTTTATGTTTTGTTTTAAGATGCCAACCATCTTCCCAATGGAAGCAAACTCACGTTGTACGAGTATCTTCATCAGAGCTACGTCTGTAAAAGAGCGAATAATTTTAAAAAAAATATAACGATAAAATGATTGCATATTTTTTTATAAAGATAGGTTAGAATACAATCTGACCTGCATAATTTAACCTAAAATATATTATGTATTGTCTTGTTGTTAGTTAGAATATGAATTCAATCTATTTCATATAATAACAGTTAGTTTAAAGAAATATATTAAGAACATTGTTGAGGCGAGTTCAATAGCATAGATTTTTTAAATGTAAAAAATTACGTATTTTCTGACGTTGCTTATGATGTTTTCAAAAATGTGAGTTGAAATTCTGCTTTTGCAGGTTCACAGCATGAGCAGTGCTAGTCTATAGATTTATGTATTTAACAATGATATAATCCAAATTCAAGACAATAAATAATATTCTGACAGCATTATTTTAAAAAGTAAACCCACCTGACATCTCCGTTTGAACGCATGGCTACAGCTGCAACTTCAAATAAACCAATAAAGAAGCATAACAATAATGGTCCAAATATGGCACCCTGCCAACCAATCCAGTACATGCCACCAGCAATTGCCAAGCCGGTTAAATATGGATGACCACCCCTGGAATTATAAAAATGGAAAATATATAAAAATCCCCTCTTGAAATTTTAGTTCTGAAAACTTACCCCTTCATTTCAGCATAAATGGCTGCCTCGAAATAAGGCGGCACAAAGAATTGTAGTAAAAATAATGCAATGCCAGCATAAAGGCGATCCTGGGCCAACCATAACTCCAAAAGAGCCGGCAGCGAACACCAATAAGAACCCAAAAAGGGGGCAGCAGATAAAATAGCTGCCAATGCGGAGGGTAAAAACACAATGCGCGCTCCAAATACGGTATGTACCAGCCATGTAAAGAGGCCCGTAAACAGCGAACACTTGAACATTGATATTAATACACCGGATATTGAATTTTCCAAGGCATCAGCAATTTTAGAGCCTGACGAAGAGAAGCCAATGTATTTGGTAACTTGGAGGGGAGCATATTTCGTTTGACTACTCGATAACAAATAAAACAGAGCCGTAAAGAAAACAATCTAAAAATATTTAAATATTACATAATTTCTTAATATACACAATTTTCGAGGTGTATCCTTACCATATCCAAAATAAATTCAACACAGGCCTGTCCTCCCGACAATACCAGCGATATAATTTCTCCCGTAAACGCCATAATCATTGACAGATTCGTACGTATAATATGCCACAGCGATTCAGCCACTTCCATTATGGTTTGTGTATTGCTTTTGGCCCAGCCAATGATGCCCTGTTTCGCCACTAAAACTAGCTCTTTAAAATGTCCTTTATTAAAAACACATTGCTTTTTGTTAGACATGATGACATGCAGGGTTAAGCAGAGACGTATTTTTGTTGTTTTACAATTTTTTTATCACGGGACTTTGTTTGAAACCAACCGAAAATAACCAAAAACAAAACAAATCGCGCCCACAAGATATATCGATACATATAAATTAACTATACAAATATACATATAGGTGTTCCCAGAAGCTGTGGAAGAGTAGCAATACAAACCCCCTGTTTAAGATATGCCAACTTCATAAATGTAGAAATATTTTTATTCCATAAGATAATTTTCCCCCAATGGAAAATAAAATAGTTTTGGAACTTACTATTTTTATTTGCCTAAAACATAGGACTATCTGATGTATCCAATTATATGCCATAAAACATGAGACAAGTTGATGTATCTATTTTCCAAAAAATTTTATTTGGAGGAGATGTCAAAAAATCTACCAAATTCTGTAACCAAGCCCTTTGACACAATTAGTGTAGGAGAAACACAAGCAGATCTTTAGTAATTGCTGTTTTGCCAGCAATAATCGTTAAATTTTTGTGGAATTATATGTATGTGTGAAAGACAGTCATACGTGGAATTTCAGAATTAGAAGTGAAATCCTCATGAAATGAAATAACAAAACTTTATAAAATGGAGTGATAGCTCTGGGTCTATTCAACTTGTGATTGTATTTTCAGCCTAAAAATCTACGCCCGGGCTATTTATCAAATGAACTGCGAATATGAGAACACAACTAAATGTGCAGATCAATTGAAATATAGTTTCGACCTAGGACTGACATTCGAAAGCATGTTCAAAATACCGGTGCATGTCACTGCAATACATTGAAAAGTAGGAACCCGAAAAGATACTTGTTGACCTCTGGGGTTAGCTATTTGAGGTGAGTCTGGTCAACTAGTGCTACGTTTTAAAAATGCAAAAGAGGTAGCACACCTCATGAAAATATCTGCATGGTCAAGGAAGGTTCAAAACGAAAATTCTAGGATCAAAAATTCTAATATTTTTATCAACACAAGATCTGGAGCAAAGATGGTATATGACGGACCACTTCTTTAGGTACCTCCCCCCACAAAGGGTAAAAATTATGAGTACTTATAACCCTTATAACATGCGCAACAACTCAGTCTTTAAATTAAGTTGTTTCACTAAATCCAAATCGAATGTGGATACGGTATTTTTGCCTCCCCCACAAGGGGGCAAAATTTTTAATGGTTACAAGTCTCATAAATAATTGTTGCATGTGTATTCTATTTCCCCACAACACAATATTGTCACATAAATTAGATCTAGTGTGAATATAGAACTCATCCGTCCATCCTCCCCCACAAAGGGTCAACATTTTGAATAGTTATAACTCTCTCAACAACTCAGCGAGTTTCTTCAAAATTGGTGAAAAAATTTCAAACATAAAATTAACGTAAATATGGAATATGTCAAAATGTTTATTAACTATAAATCGCACAATATTGGAGGTAAGTAATTTTTGCACATTTCTATATTTGTATTGGTATTAAATAAAGTGATCGAATACATCGATCCACTCTTTCTCGTTCCACCCCCACTCAATTTCAACATTTTCCTGTTCCTTTAATCAATACAATTGTAAGCTGAAAATGATTTCTTTGTGCTGAACAAACATTATCTTGCTAGATGTTTTTCATTACATTAATATTTACATAGCGATGTAATGCCTGATCGATTTTCAATGAAACAACAATGAAGGGATTAACGAAATATGTATCACAAGTAGCTTGGAGGTAACAAGGATTTAGAACCTATTTTAAAGATATAACTTTAGGAAATATAATTAAAGAGTAAGAAAGCAAAGTCATTTCAAATAAGCATTTCCATCTTTGCATTTTCTGTAATTTAGCTTGTCAAATTTCACTGCATGGAAACGGATGGTCCTTCTTAATAATCAAAAAAATAAATAAATAAATAACGATTATAACAGAGTATCATTTTTTAATATGTTTCCGATATTTCATTGAATTTTTTTTATATCTGAGGACACAGCTATTCCTGTCTATAGTTCTGCAATTCTTTTTCAAATTTATTGATCACACAGCTATTCCTTAAACAACGTCTATAGTTTTGCAATTCTTTTTCAAATTTATGGATCAATGTTCCGTAAATCTCAATGTTGTGAAATTGTTCTTATTTAACAATTTAAACTAAAATAATCCAATAATAAACGAATGTTGCTCTGTTTATGATAAATGATTGATGGAATTAATGGCCAATAATGAAAACTTTGTTTTAGTCTCGAAAGATGACTGAAATGGTGTATGGATAGTTAATACAATTCGCAATGTGTATTTTGGTATTTAACAAAACAATATTGGGTTAAATGAATTATTTAAATGAACAAACCAAACACAAATAATAAAATAAGAAGACAAACTCAAAACAAAATCAAAGCCCCAATGGGATAATTAATTGTAATAAACGAAAAACAAGTTCAACTTACCAGGATTATCGACAATTTCACCAAATGTAGTTTTCAAGGCATCCGTGGGAACACGTGGCCCATAGGAATCTGATTTATTGAAATCTATCCAGTACTGTATGAGACGATCCCAAACATCTAATATTTGCTCCTTTAATTTGGTTGCATGTACCGGGTCAGCATCAGTTAACCAATCATCAATATAGGTTTCAATTTTACGCCGTCCATAATGATGGGCATTATCCAAAGCATCATCCAATGATGATTGAATATTTGCTGGTAAAATATCAATCAATTCTGGGCGATCAGTAATTGTTTTGTTAATTAAATCTTTGCCCAAATAGGCCACCTCAATAGTTTCAGAATAAATGTTGACACAAAAGAATACACCCAAGAACACAATAATAAGGATCATAAGAATTATCATTAGAATAGAAGTGACCAAGTCCACTGAAGATTTGAGAGAGTTGCGAATGATGCCATTGATTTTGTAGTTCAATTCCAAGACACCAGGAAGACACAAAGGCAAAACAGCCGAATGATGTACTATGGCCCAAGACTAAAATGGAAGAAGGGATTTATTTCAAAAGCCTTCAACAGCATAATATATATATCTGTGTAATTACCTTCAATTTGTTGTAGATATCATTTAACTTTTCCGTCACAAAATCCGTAAATCCCGTGTATATGCCCAGTTGGTAAAGTAAATGCATAAACATGGGTATTAAAGCCAATATAAACATCCAAACATTGCGATATAAAAATGTTGCCATGCAAGCATAAAAGAGAAATTTAAAATATGTGCCACTCATTTGGGGTTCATCGTCATCATTATGTTCCTTGTGGTCACCATGATCTTCGTATGCCTCTAAAGTTTCCATTGAATCCATGGTTTCACTAAACGAGACATCTTCAATATCTGAGTGTAGACTTTGTTTTTTATTTTGCAAACGTAGGGAATTTATGGATTTTTCAAAATCCGATCGATCAAGCAATTTTTTTACTTTCTCAACCATAGAACTGGATTCTTCAGTATTTTGCAAATGATAGACAATAGAGGCTCCAACATATAACATAATCAATATGAAGGCAGGAACTTGTAAGGCTCCCAAAAAGCTACAACCATATGAGACAATGGCAATCCACAAAGATTGACCCGCAATTACAAAACGATTGCTATTCGCTTCTTTCCAAAAGAAATAGACCGAGGTAAGGTAGACAGCAATTATGGCCACCAACTGCAAACATAGGAGTTATGTTAATAGTCTGTTTCGCTTGAAAATACTTTTAAAACTTACCAAATAAATATTCAAATAGCCTATGAGCTGGACAAACAACGAGTGCGAGAATACAATCAAACGCCAAATGGCACACAAAAACCCTTTGGGAGCATATAAAACCAATAGTTTTATACAGGTTGCAATACCTACACCTGCTGTTATAACTTGCCAATGAACTTTCAGCCAATTCACCAAAAAACTACCGCAACTTTCGGTAGCCTCCAAAGGGGCCAGACACAGCGAAACAAAGACATTGGAATCACGTTCTTCGAGTTTTTCAAACCAACCGTTCAGTAATTGTGCCAGTTTCCGTTTAAATGGAAACAATACAGCACCCATTAAGAAGGCCCACAGAAGGGGCCGTACAAACGGTCCAAGTATAAAACATACCGCCACAAATGCAGCAACACCCGCTGCGATGAGGAAATTATACATGGCTGCTTTAAAACTTTCATGATTCTGCGATCGTATACGCATTAATTTATTCAGAACACTATCGAAGGAACGATCCCTTCGTATTGAATCGGATCGATGCATTATGTAGTAATTGGAAATATTTCGATTTGGTTTGCCTTTGAATCAAATTTTTGTAGTTGAACTGAAAGAGAAAAATTAAGTTATTTTTAATAGAGTTATAATAGAATCCAGAATTCTGGGCCAATCTGCAAAAATACTGCAAGAATGTGTGAATACCTACAGAGTTATTTGGGAGACCTATTTTTTAAAGAACAACCAGGGCTACAATTGGTCCCCACAGCAATAATCGTGCTTTTCTTGTAAGAATATTTTCAAGGATTTCCATTCAAGATGGGTATTCACGTATTTTTTAAGTGCTATAAGAGTTACAACCTTAGATTAAAAAATCCTCGATGTCCCTTGAACATATTGTCGGAGATTTTTTTTGGATTTTTTCAAAGAGTTATAATCGTAAGTTTCTTTTTGTTAGTTAGGAGCTTTAATCGTAAATTTTTTAAAGAATATTTTCAAGAACCCTCGGTGCTGCCATTGTGGATTTGTAAGGAATTTAGACCCCAGGTCCCTTTGGAGAAAAATCCGTTTCAGGACATTTGGAGTCGATCTGGGGTTGTCCGTCCGTCTGTCTGTCTGCTGATGCGCACGATAACTCTCGAAGGGAGTATCTGATTTGCTCCAAACTTGGTACATCGTAATATTATTATCAAACCTAGATCGAGTTCAAAGATGGGCAATAACGTAATAACATTTTCAAAGAAAATAATCAACCTCGTAGAAAGAGAAATGATCAATCGTTTCTGTGCAAACTTTGCAAATCTTAATATTTTTGTCAGTGCTAAGTGAGGGTAAAATATGGACAATCTCGGCCCACTCCACGAAGAACTTCCGCCACAAAGAGTCAACATTTGGAGAAATTTGGCGTTGACTGATAATAGTCATCCGCGGAAAAAAAAGGAAAGAGGGAATATGTAAGTGCAACATTTAATTGTAGCAAACGGAGAGAAATTTAATTGTTTTGCATTTAATTGCAGATAAGGATAACTAGGGACATTAAATTGTCGGGACATCAAATAGTCGTCGGATTGCATTACATTTAACTGTAAAGACGTTGGACGTCGTGAGTCCGAGGTTGTGGAAAGAGATGAGCTCGACTGGTATATCACCTTTCCTTTGTGATGCCATAGATAAGGCACTTCTGCGCACAGAGTGGGAAAATGGTATCGTTCATTTTCCATATATTTGGATGCAGAGGAAATAAAGGACACTGCGAAAAAGAGGACCAAACTTCTGTATTTGGGTGGCACACAACTCCAAGAGGTTGTATACAGCATTCCCGAAGCACTTGTAGAGTCTGACGATACAACTGAAAGTGTTGATGTGTTCAAAATTCTGGTAGAAACACTCAACGAATATTTTTCACCAGAAAGAAACACGACATTAAAAAAAAAAACACCTTTTTCGTTCGCTTAAGCCTGAAGGATGCGAATGTTTGAACAGATTTCTTGTGAGACTACGGAACCAGGCCGCAAAATGTAATTTCGGTGAGACAAAAGATGAGATACTGGGTATAAATATAAAAGACAAGATAATTGATAATTGGGCTCCGAATGATTTAAAGAAACAACTCCTAGAAAAAGAATATACACTTACAGAAACCATCGAAATGTGTCATGCCCATGAACAGATAAATAGCCAGACAGAAACAATGAAATATCCCTATGTATCTGTGATATTAGCAAAATCGAATCAAAGAATCAACAGAGTGAATGTGGCAGATGTGGTCGGCAAGGTCATGAAGGTACAAGTATTGACTGTCCTGCTAAAAATTCAAAATGCAACAAATGCGGTTTATTGGACATTTTGCTCGCAAATGCAAGTCGAATTGTTTGAAACGCAAGCAGCCTGGTTTTGGATACACAGATGCGAAAAAGCGGAAATATTCAAACATTCAATTTGTCAATCGAAATGTGTCATGCCCATGAACAGATAAATAGCCAGACAGAAACAATGAAATATCCCTATGTATCTGTGATATTAACAAGATCGAATCAAAGAATCAACAGATTGAATGTGGCAGATGTGGTCGGCAAGGTCATGAAGGTACAAGTATTGACTGTCCTGCTAAAAATTCAAAATGCAACAAATGCGGGTTTATTAGACATTTTGCTCGCAAATGCAAGTCGAATTGTTTGAAACGCAAGCAGCCTGGTTTTGGATACACAGATGCGAAAAAGCGGAAATATTCAAACATTCAATTTGTCTCAAGTGACGGTGTGAAAGAAGTTGGATCTATGGGAAATAAGTGGAAAGAACACAATTGTTTCCAAATTGCAGAGAAGTTAAACGGGCACATGGGGGAAATGATGGAGTGCTATATAGGGGGTCGAAGGATTGACATGCTGATTGACTCTGGATCACATCATAATAGTTGGCAACCTTGTTATGATTAGTGTCAAAAAATTGTGGTGCTCCGTGCTTTTGAAAAAATTATTAGTTATATGTTCTATTAAATTAATTAATCTGGTAAAAAATGTTCAATAGTGATTTTGTAACTCATAGTTATAATTAGTGTAGTGTTTTAAAATCTTCAAAAATAATTCATGGACTTCGGCTACATCCAACCGAAATTTTCCGTTTCGACTTGAGTTATGTACGTTGGGCAATATTGTCCTACGAGGTACCAAAAACGTAATTCCTGACCCTTTAAGAACGAGAGTTTTAACGTTGGCACATGAATGTCATCCAGGCGAAATGGTGATGAAGCGACGGTTACGATCAAAAGTATGGTTGTTGAGAAACGTGTGAAGAACTGTCACGAATGTTTGTTGGTGTCAAGACCGCCCGACCCAGCACCGATGACTCGACGTGTTTCACCACAAGGGCCTTGGTTATGCCTAGCAATGGATCTATTAGGACCATTACCAAACAATGATTTCATATTTGTTGTCATTTATTATTATTCAAGATACAAAGAGGTAAAATTTCTAAAGAAAATTACATCAAACGAGATAATCAATTTTCTGGATGAATTGTTCTCTCGACTGGGCTACCCAAAGTCAGTTACTACAGATAAGAGTCGTCAGTTTGTCAGTGACGAGTACAGGAGCTATTGCGCTAACAAAAACATCGAAATCGTGACGTCCCCACCCTACTGGCCACAAGCGAATGGAGAAGTAGAGAATATGAATCGTTCTATTGTAAAACGCCTGCGAATAGCTCATAGTAATGGAACGGACTATAAGAAGGAAATTCAAAAATTCCTGCTAATGTACAATGTCACCCCTCATGGAATAACTGGAAAAGCTCCAAGGGAACTGCTTTTCAATTGAGTAATTCGGGACAAAATACCATCTATATCGGATGTCGGTGAAAACATTTTGGATGCGGAAGCCAGAGACTTAGACGCGATCAATAAAGAAGGAGTACAAGTTTCGTGGTGCAAAACAAAATAATACTCAAGTTGGTGACAAAGTATTGGTGCAAAATGTATACAAAATGAACCGGGTGATAATAATTTGTTTGCAGATCGTGTTGAGACACAAATGGGTCAAGATCAGATAAATCCAAAACCGCGGGTCATTACAATATGAAATGAAAAATATTTCCTTTATAAAATTGTTCATTTGACATTTTTGATACCTCACCCACAACGGGACAATAATTTAAATAACCATAAAGCTCGTAAAACACGAAATGAACATACGATTAATTTCAAACAAGGCGTATCTCAATATTTCTATCAACATAAGTTTTATCAATCGCACACACTTTAATATTTCTACTGAAACAATACTTCATTGGAAGATGGAATATATAGGACCATCCTCCTGGCACCTCTCCAACAAAGGGACAAAAGTTGGAATTAATTTAACTATTATTAAAATGTGAAATAAGAGTCCGATTATATTCAAATTTCACAGACCCCAATATTTTTATTAACACAAGAGCTAATGTACCTCCCCCAACAAAAGATAAAATTCGGATTAACAATTATTTGCATAAAAATTGAAAAATAAATTTTCTATTTCCTTTGAACTTTGCACATCCCTACTTTTAATGACCTTAGAAGAAGCTCAAAGTTTAGACTAAAATGTCTATTCCCTTTGTTATATTATTGTTCATCATTTTAAAAGTTTTTGTGGTGGGTATCAGAATGGTTAATGGTTATGTGGCGAACAATTTTTGAAATTAACATCTAAATCGAATTAAACTTGTACTATAACAAAACACTTTAGGAGCCCCTAGAAAAGAAAGGACAAAGTTTTCAAATAACATGAACTTTAAACGCCTTACGCCTGCACTCATTTGCTCTGCCAACTCATGGAGTGCAAACGTAGTGATGTGTGTTATAAAATTATTACTAAGCAGTTTCAGAGAGGCAATAGGTCTGCTAATATTTGACTTTTGAACAACAACGTACAATGTCCACATATCTTTCACAGACAAAAGTTGTCTGCAGACATTACCAGAGCATGTCGGTGACAAACCAGTTAGCAAAACACGCTAAATAGGTAGAACCGTGTTCAAGTAAATTAAAAAAAAAAAAACCATATATTTTAACGGCCAAGGTCGTTTTATGTAGATTTGTAGTCATTTTTAAAAATGACTATAACACGCTTTTAGAATAACAGAAACAATTGAAATCATAAGTACTTACAAGTAATATTCTCGAATCATTCCTAAAACCTTATCTCGAAGAAAACCTCAGAATCATAATAACAAATGATGTTATATTTCAATCAATACGAATGCAAATTAACCACACCCCTTTGTTTTATATAGATTTCCATGATCGAAAAGGAATTTGATAATAAATACAGACATACTTACCGATCAATTACAGTTCAAATTACCACTCGTATCATCAAAGTAATATCCAGTAATTTTCATCTACCCAGTGTCTCTGGTCTGGAATCAGCTAGGAGCAATAGCAAGATAACATTGCCATGTAAAGTAATTTAATTACTATTTTCAATCTGAACTATAACAAAACACAACACGCTTAATGTTCCGTGTTATCAAACGATTCTTCTGCCACTGACTAGTTTATAATTGGATACAGAAACATTTTTGGAATGAATAATTTTTCTTTGCCATATGACGTCACTTTTTTCTTTCGTTTGAGATATTTTTATTTTTGGCCACTGTAATGTTGCAACATTCTACTTGCTTGAATTTAATTTTAGATTAGATTTTTTTTTCGAAATCACCAGTAGCAGTAAATGTAAAAATCCACAAATATTTGCAATTTTTTTAACATTAAATGTTTTATATATTTAACTCGCTCCCCACGATAAGCTTCTTAGTGGACTTTTCGAACAAAACAAATAAGAAATCAAAAAGGAACGCCCGATAAAAAAGAACAAGAAAGCAAAATCTGTTTGTTTACGAATGAATGTAATTCATAACCCGAGGGATCTCTGTTGTTTACGAATGAGACATGAGGAAATCGAACAGCTGGACACATTAATTAAATGAACCGCGGGAGTAAGTTCCTTCAACTCGAGGAAGAAATCGGCCGGCTTTAGGTCGTAATTTTGACGCCGTTAAGAATATTAAAATTGATTGAGTCGATAAAAAGGACGTGGACCATGGAACATGGTGGTGAATTACATACTAAATTTTCGCATGTAGGATATGTAGTTTGGCTTTTGGTGCAAATATTGCAAATTTAATTAAAGAACTTTTCGATCCAAAAAAAGGAATATTCTACTGTTTAGAGTTCTAAACAAGTTACTTTTTACGTTTCATACAAATTTACGTTTCAATACAAAAATTTAGAAAGTATTGCCTCTTTTGTTTTCAAGTTTCTGTCGAAGTTCCAACTTGTGGAAAAAAGGCTTACCTCGGATGAGAGAGAAAACAAACTTTCATATGAATGCACATACGCCATCCAACATTATATCTCTCACTAATAATTGTCAGTCTTCCTGAAATATTTTAAAATTTAATTAAAAGTTTCTATTATGGTAGAATTAAGAAGGTAAAGTCATGCAATCATATGTTCACAATTTGTTTAAAAATTATTAATTTGACATCTCATTGTTAAAAAGTATATTTAAAAATCCATTGTACATACACAAATCAGAGATGGGATTCTGTTCTCCATGCAGTGAAATTTTGCAAGGTCGATTACAGAAAATGCAAAGATGCTTATTTGAAATTACATTCTTAATGGTTTCTATTTTGAATTTTGAAATTGAAATGTTATAATTTATTTTTTTCATAAAAGTTCTCATTTGTTAGGGATGACACACATTTCATCGTAGTTCTGAAAGTGATTTGAATGGAACAAAGAACAAAATTCTTTTTTCGTTCAGAAAATTGTGGGTGGGGAATTAAGTAAATATTTCATAATTAATGGTAGAACAACAAATAGAGAGCGAATCGCATGCCATGTGAACTTAGAATTAGGTAATTAAGAAAATAAATCGGCATATTATTCAAATAAACAAGGAGTATGGGTAATCATTTTTGAATACAATAAACAATTTCTACATAAATCATACACATAGCAAATATACAAGGAAGCATGGTAGAAGAATACAGGTAATTGCATCAACGCCTGGGAACATTGATATGTCGAAAATTTTAAAATGTTTTTTTTTTTTTTTCAAAAATAAGTAGATTTTTGGATAACTTCATATACCCACAAATAGAAGGTTCTTATGATATGAATTTTTCAACCATTTATACAAATATCACTAATTTTTCAATCAAAATGTTTGATTCCAAAACTTTTTTGACAGTTCAATCTCCCAGCATCTGTTTCGATCCGACTACCTGTATTCTTCTACCATGCAATGAAGCAAGAAAGGAAAAATAATTATCGATAACCATTAATCGACTACATAGCAATGGTACATGAATACTTACCAACTTCGTCTTGACGACGTAACCAATTACCGACTCCAAAAAAATTGTTTGCGGGCTTGTTTTCTTTTATTCAAATAACAAATGAATATGGGTTTGTGATTTGAATACAATAAAAATTTTCTAAAGAAAAAATTTAATTTTCATTTCCTCGCTTGCAGATGACAAATTAAAGAATATTTTGAAAATTCGTCCACTGCAAAATACGGTAATTACATTTCGTACGTCCACGACAGAATATCGAAAATTAGTGAAAAATGCTTGTCTATCGGAACTGAAAAATCTTGTAAATGTGGAAATGGAAATTGAACAAGTACAAGTGAAAATTCCCGATGAAAAGCAAATGCCACCAATGCCCAGTGAAATACATAAACCCAAGGTGAATATGTTCGTCCGTAAAAGTTAGCACATTTCATTTAAAGTAAATTATATTGTTTTCCAGATTGGTGCCTTGCTCAAGGAATGTAGTCTGGTCGAAGAAGGCATCAATTTATTATGAAAATAATTACTGCGTCTTACAATACATTTGATTAAGTTTTTTATAAATTATGTTTAAACAATCACAAGTCGGGTTGAATACCTAAAATACAAACGAATAAATAATATTAAGAAAATTATAAATTATCAAGTTCGTGGTATACCTTAAATATAGGAATTATGGGTCTCTTTTGGAAGAGCTTTCCCTTGGTTCGTATAATCAGAAGGTAACGAAAATCAAACTAGATAAGAGAAATGTAAAGGGGTTTAATACGAATTTGGTATGTTAATAGGCGATACTTACATTCTCCAGAACCTCATTGATTCGAATGTCATGTATGGCGGATGAAGATATAAATGTATTACTCTTACCCCAACATTTTTCGATTTGAAGATTAATACCGAAATCATGACAGAAAATGATATTTTCTAAAAAATATATATATAAGTATAAGAGATAATACATATTGCTCTTCCTAGCATACCCGCTTTAACAAGACTTAACCAACGCCAAAGTATGGGCAGAAACCATAAAAATGAAGCAATCCCAAAATAGAGTAATCGAAATGCAGCATTCAGATGTAACCAGAGGTAGAAACCACAAATGGCAACAAAGACCAGTGATTCCTTGATTGCTGCCTTCTTTTGTTTGGGAAAATCTTTATTCACTAGTCTAACTTGCAGGGCATCGCTACCCAATTCATGTATTTCCAAACGAAGATCCGTTTCCTCGAGGCCTTTATATAAATGTGTTGTGGAGTGGAACTCGTATATCATAGAACTTCCACAGCAATTCATTTTTGATATTTTTCAAAAATCACTGTGGGATAACTGCTGCAAGTGTCGCTAGAATGGTGAAAAAAGTTTTTACATTTGTTTGCTTTTGTTCAATTCACGCACAATCTCATGCATTACGACTGTTCTATAGACCACATTTACTTAATTATTTATTTAATTTATTTACGTGTTTGGATCGGATTGGACGATTCCCATGCTCTGCGCTCCTTCATTCAGCGCATGGAGCGAGAAAACCAAAGTGAAAAACGTTCCCAAAGGAACAAATAAGAAAATCAAAAAAGAATACCCGATAAAAATTAAAGAGAAGGCAAAATCACCGAGGGACGTCTGTTGTTTACGGATGAGACGAGTGTAATGCATAACGCCGAGGGACCTTTGCTGTTTACGAATGAGACACGAGGAAAAGGCAATCAGCTGGAAGCATTCAATAAATGAGCCGCGAAACTAGTTGCTCGGTTGGCAGCGGCATATCATATATAAAACAATCGAAAAGTTGTAATAGATTAAACAGAGTAGCAGTAGTAAACACATACAGGACTGTTGTTTGTGGTGTTTCATGATTGCCAGATGCATATATATGGTAGAAGAATACAGGTAGTCGCATCGACACTGCTGCTGGGACAATGAACTGTCAAACCGATTCTGAAATTGAAATTGTTGAATGAAAAATTATTGAAATTTGTAAAAAATTATTGAAAAAAATCATATTATAACAACCCCCAGCGCTTATTTGGCTGGCTTAAGTCATCGGCTGGCTTCTTCGGAAATGAACAAAGGAGCCTGGGGTCAAAATCGAACTAAGTCAACCTAAAACTCCTTTGTTCCTCTACGAAGAAGCCAGCCGAAGACTTAAGCCAGCCAAATAAGCGCTTTATGTATTCCCAGCTTAAGGGCACCAACAGAAAAAAATGTATTTGGGAGGTAGCTTTGTTCTACCTTCTGTAATTGTGCCATGGGAGGTAGCTTTGTTCTACTCTGTAATTGTACCATGCTTGCACGTTTAAGGTGAAAATACATAAAACGCTTTTCTGACTGGCTTAAGTCATCGGCTGGCTTCTTCGGAAATGAACAAAGGAGCTTGGGGTCAAAATCGAACTAAGTCAACCTAAAACTCCTTTGTTCCTCTACGAAGAAGCCAGCCGATGACTTAAGCCAGTCAAATAAGCGCTTTATGTATTCCCAGCTTTATTCTGTCAAAACATATACACATATTGTGTATGCATGTGTGTTGTTTTAAATAAAAAATACAATAATTACTTCAAATCTGTCTGTAAAATAAATGCAATTTTTGGACGTAAATGGGTAACAAATTGTACAAACCGCTAAAACCGAATGAAATGCCAAAAATCATGTTCTATATATATCTAAAGGTTCATTTCTCTGCAAAAACTGTAGATTTTGTAGAAGCATACGTTGCAATAATCATTTTGAAAACATCCATTTGAATATTTTCTTAACAATTTTTTTATTATTGAAAAACATACACACACAAACAAAAAAGTTAACATATTAAGCCAAGCAAATAAAAAAATAAAATCTAAAAAAAATATAGTATTATAGCCCTACCTAGATTTTATTGTGTCATGGATATACTTATTTGAAATGACTTTACCTTCTAAATAATAACGGTGAAAGTACAGAAAAGGCTTTTTTGACTAGAAAATACATAAAGCGCTTATCTGGCTGGCATATCATTCTTCGTAAATGAACAAAGGAGTTTTAGGTTGACTTAGTTCGATGTTGGCCTTGGGCTCCTTTGTTCATTTCCGAAGAAGCCAGCCGATGACTTAAGCCAGCCAGATTAGCGCTTTATGTATTCCCACCTTAAGTCTTCGTAAAGGAAAAAAGGAGTTGTAGGTTGACTTAGTTCGATTTCGGCCCTAGGCTCCTTTGTTCTTTTCCGAAGAAGCCAGCCAGAAAAGCGTTTTATATATTCTCACCTTAAAGGTGCAAGCATGGTACAATTATATTTTGTGTATGTGTGTGCATTGTTTTGAATAATAAATACAATAATTTGAAATTATTTCAAATTTGGTTGCAAAATAAATGCAAATTTTGGACGTAAATGGGTAACAAATTGTACAATTTTGTTATAGAACAGTATTGATTCCATCTTGTAGAATAACTCCGAAATTTCATTCTTATTTCCGAAATTTTTCGCAAATAAGATTTTTGTTAAAAAAAAAAATAAAAATAAACCAAGTAAAATAAACCAAACCAACTGTTGCATATTTAAAGGCCTATTTGACACTATAAGACTCCAGCACAGAGTTGCATTTTTTAAGTTGATCAACCTTTCTTATTAAGCCATTCTACCTCGTATATAAAATTTGTTTTCTTTTGGTGTCCCTACTTTCTGTTTTGAATAATAAAGAAAACAATTTGAAATTATTTCAATTATTTCATTATTTGAAATTCAGATGCAACAAAAACGCATATTTTTAGTATGAATCGGCAACAAACATTAACATTTTGGTATAAAACAGCATTGTCCTTCTATTTCGGAATCAATTTTGTGGTATAAGCCCCACATTCTATTTATGTTTTGTGTTTTTACCCTAATTTAAGAATTGTATGGAAAACCATGGTAAAATTAAGAAGGTAAAGTCATTTTAAATAACCATTTCCATCTTTGCATTCTCTGTAATTTTCCTTGTTAAATTTCACTGCATAGAAAGTAGGTTCCCATATCTGATTTGTGTGGGTACAATGGATTTATAAATAAATATTTTTACAATGAGATGTTGTCAAATTAATAATTTTGAAAAATAAACAAAACCATTTGTTGATTGTTTTAATATATATCATGGTACAATAAAAAGGTAAGGTAGAGCTACCAGCTGATTACAATTTTTTTCTAAGTGTGCCCGACTTCTGCCAATTTTGTGTATGTATTTATTGTTTTGAAAAATAAAAACAGAATATTTTCAAAATCAATGATGGGAAGACACGTAGATTGCGGCTCGCGCTTTAAAAATATTAACCAGTTTAGCCATGAAATTGAAAGATTGAACAGTTTGGATCATATTTTTGAGAGAAAACTCAGGCATTTCATTCATTTTTCGAGCCATTTTCCTCATTTTAATAATGAGGAAAAATATGAAGAAAATGAAAACAACTTGTTGTATATAATTTTGTATGTAGTCTGACAGGAAGCGGGCATAGCCTCAGGGCAGTATTTCTGTAGTTTTACGAAGCTGTTCTACCTCCTTATAGTACCATGATATATATTTGATACAGAGACTCGAGTACAGAGTTGTAATTTCCTAGTTTCTTTGAAGTTGAACAACCTTTCATGGCACAATTACTGATGGTAGAACAAAGCTTTCCTTTGAATACATTTTTTTCTTTTGGTGCCCCCATTCTGTCAAAACATATACACAATTTGTATGTGTGTGGATTGTTTTAAATAGAAAATAAAAAAAATTAAAATTATTTCAAATTTGGAAAAAATGTAAATGCATATTCATATCACTTAACGGTCAAACAAAATGTATAATTTTGGGATAAAATAATATCGTCCTACAATCTTGGGTTCAATTTTGTGGAGAAACCACAAATTTCCATTCAAGTTTTGTGGGTTTTCCACAATATTATATTTTTTTAGAAAAATGTTAAATAAACAAAACCAATTGTTGGATGTTTAAAATGTTTATTTGACACAATAAGACTCTAGTACAGAGTTTCTTTTTCCTAGTTTCCTTGAAGTTCAGCAACCTTTTTATTGAGCCATGGATACAAGCATGGTAGAAGAAAGCAGGAAGCATTGACACGTCAAAATTTTTAAAATGTTTTTTTTTTTTATAAGACACCAATCGGAGGTTGTTATGACATTTTTCAAGAATTTTTAATAATTTTTGATATTTTAACCAAAACTTTCAATTTCAAAATCGGTTAGACAGTTCATTGCCCCAGCAACTGTGTTGATACCCATAGTACAATTACTTAATTTTGTGTATGTATTTATTATTTTGAAAAAATGAAAACAAAATATTTCCAAAACCAATGACTGGAAGACAGGTAGATTGCGGCGCGCGCGCGTTAAAGCTATTAACCAGTTTAGCCATGAAATTGAAATATTGAACAGATTGGATCATATTTTTGAGCGAAAATTCAGGCATTTCATTCGTATTTCGAAAATGAGGAAAAATAAGCACACATCTCTGCATGTTTTGCAATTGACTTTGTCAAATTTCAGTACATAAAGAATAGGATCCCATCTCTGATTTGTGTATGTACAATAGATTTTTAAATATACTTTCTAACAATGAGATGTCAAACTAATAATTTTGAAACAAATTGTAAACATATGATTGCATGAATTTGCCTTCTTAATTCTACCATGGGCGCAAGTGCACAAGGAGCTTAAGGTAACTGTCAAACCAACTTTGGTATTGAAAATGTTGATTGAAAAATTATATAAATTTGCAAAAATTGTTGCCGCGTATTATAATAAAATCCGAATGCATCGTAAAAGAAAACATATAAAAATCTACTTATATTTGAAAAGACATTTAAAATTTTTTGACATATCAATGTTCACAAGCGTTGATGCATCTACCTATATTCTTCTATCATGGGTGAAAGAAAAAAGGCTTTTTTGACTGCCTTAAAGGTGGAAGTAAATAAGAAGCTTGAAGTCATTAGTAGACATATTTTGTGAAGATACATTTAAAAATTTTTGGGATCGATCTACAGAGCCTTAATGTGTCGTTAATCTCTGATTCCGCCTTGGTTTTTTTTATCTGATTTATATGTGTTTCTACCTATGTGGATATATTTTCGAGGAGATAATTTTTAATTTGGAAATTTCTAAGGTGAATTTTGTTATAGCAAATTTGTTAAAAAAAATTTGTTATTGCAAAATAGTCAGTTCTAATTCCATTATTGTTGTTTTTATAAAAAACCAAATTTGCTATTCAGGGATGAAATGCTAGGAAAATATTCTATTTTTTAATATATCATAGCTGTGTGAACATATGATTGACACATTAACGCAGTCAGCTGTTTGTGTGAACATCCCTTACAAACAATCATTTACAATTTCCAATCCAAGTGTGGCAACACTCTTGCCGAAAGAACTTTTACAGTGTTGCAACGAATATACTAAGTTGATTTGTTTGTTTTTGTTTTCATTACAATGTGTTACTAATTTCAAAGTAAGGTTATTTTAAAGTAATCAATATAATATTAAAATAAATATTTTCCATTATTATCCAGTTTTTAACCCGTTGTAGTTTAATTCGTCTAATTACATTGTGTATTGTTCTTTACTACTCTTTTCTTTCAGCTTACAAAGTGAAACAACCCTGTTCGTTGAACATTTTCAATATGGCGGCATCGGTAGAATGACGAATGTTTTGTGGCTACTCGTCGTTGTTATAGGACAGTCGGAATCGGTGTGTGTTAAATAAAACGTAGGATTTCATTTGAAGAATTTCCTTAATAAAACCCCAAAAATTAATAGAAATGTTTCAAAAAATTATACACTAAATAATGCGAAAACGTAAATCAAAGAAATTTTCTAAAAATTTCATTGATTCGGAGCTTTAATTTGCCAACGAAAAAGTCACACACAAGGAAAAAAGGTGCAGACATCGAAACAGCCAAAAGGAAAAAACTAAAGCAAAGAAGCAGCTACATAAAAAGTAATTGAAAAAAATAATACAGATTGTAAAGTAGTGAGTGAACGCGAGCCACCAGTAGGAAGAAGGAACACAATGATAGTGTTTTCTGAGTTTTCAAGTAGCAGCCATCAGTGGAAATAAATGAGTGTGTTTGTGTGTTTTACACGAGTGTTTTAATCAAAAAAGTGGTGCGACAAATAAAAATCTTTTAAATTATAACCCTATGCCGCATATTGAAGAATATATTTGCAATTTTGTAATAATACATACATATATGAAAAAGAATATATTGCAATTATCCATACAAAAACGGATGTAACCCCGCTGCCGGTGGAGAGATCGTGTTAACAAAAATGTATGTATAATTATTGTTTTTTTTTTTTTAAGGAGAAAAAATTATATTTTTTGTGATTTTTTTGGTTTCTATTAAGCAAACCATAACAATTGTCTTTGGCCTTCATTCGCAATGTACTTTTCGGCATATTTTGTTCATATTTTTTTTTTAATTTTATTTGCTGCGTTTTGTGTGGCTGCATGAGTGTGTGTGTAAGTTGTGTATTTTTTTCTTCGAATGATTGTTCATTTTTCCCTTGTTTTTGTACGCGCTAGTAACTATCCGTCAGTGAGTGTGTGTGCGTGTGTTTATTGTACAATGGAGCAGCGATTGGCGGTGGTGGTGGCGTTCATGAATGTTTAGAAAATTAAAACGACGTCAATGTACCACCGACCCTGCTGTATACACGTCCCATCAGCAGCTAGCTGTTATTCATCCATCCATCTATCCATCTTTTTTTTTGCTGTTGTGTGCTGCTGCTGTACGTGTTGGACAACGACGACGGCTTTATGTGCCAAAATACCAACTCTGTTTTATTGTGTAGATTTTCGTGTGTTTCGTCGTCATCATCGTTGTCGTCGTCGTTTATGCAAAAAAGAATGGATGAATATGTCATTGTCCAAGATAAAAAAAAATAATTAGGATTATTTTATGTAAAGTAAATAGTGTTTGTTGTGGAAAATGAAAACAGGAAAAAGTGTAATATCTGTAATGTTAAGCGTCATCAGTCACTTCTTTCAAAGAAAAAAGAAGTAAATAATTTCTACAAGTTTTGTTTTTATTTTCCTATTAGCTTTCTTTTGGTGGGTTGGTCGTCGGTCTTCATGCGCGCCGCCAGCCAACAGTGGTGAATTTAAAACTTTTGTTATTTGTTTTTCCTCTGTGTGCATATTTTTGCCCACCATGGCATTTGTATTGCATTTTGATTTTGTTTTGTCTTATCTGCGTTTTGCACGCTTTTTCGTATTTGTGTGTGTATCCATTATTTTTAAACAATTCTTCGTCTTGCTTTCCAACTTTATGGAATTTGCTCGCTCGCTGGCTGGTTGTCTGGCTCACTGACTCGCTTACTAGCCACCAACAGAGTTCGTATATTTTGTGGGCTGCTGTTTTACTTCGTGTAATATCCATATGTGTGTGTGTTCTTGTATTTGTGTTTTTGCAAAACATAAATATTTTGTTTGATGTAAAATTAAAATTTGCATAATCAATCCAAGTGACTGGCTGGCCAACTTCAACCCCTCTTAACCCTTCTAAAAATAAGAACAAAGAGTTCATTCAACGACGCCAACTGCTGCTGTCGTCGTCATTATTATGATTTAACAACGAAACATGCATGACGTCGTTAATTTATTATTGCAATAATAATCAGTAGCCTTGAATGTTTGATGCGTTGATACGCCGCCATGCGATGATACGTGCAGCGCGTCGTTTTACCTTCTTGTAAACTGTTGGTGGCGGCGGCGTCGGTGGTAGTGGCAACAGCGGCAAACAATGATAATGATGTCAATGTGTGTATTTTCTTTATTGCACTATTTTCTGTGTGTGTGTGGTATTCATAGTTTTGTTTTTTTTTTGTGGGTCAATGGACAAACAAAATCGGCGAAAAAACATGAAATTTCTACAATCGGTAGCTCGTTAATACCATGAAAATTGTTCCGTGGGAGAAATTGAACCTCATGAGTTTAAATATTTTGTATTTTTTTGTGAACGTTTATTATTGCAGAGGTCAAAAAAAAAAAAAAAAAAAAAAAAGAAAAAATCGTGTGTATCTAAGTGAAAATGAAGCAGAAGAATGCCAAAAGGTGTAATTACGAAATGAAAAACTGAAAAAGATGACAAAAAGTTACCAATGTGTCTTAATTTATTTCGGAAGATAATGGTTTGCTTTACAGTTTTCTGAATATTTTGATACTTTAAATATAGGAGAAAAATGACAAGGGTATAAGAGATAGAGATAAGTACAGATAAGTAGAAAACTCGAAAATACGTTTTTAAATAATAATTAAAACTTTCATTTATTTCGGCGCAATTTCCCAAGCCGAGGAATAAATTGAAAATCAAGATCAAATATAAATCAGCAAGAAGTTTTGCTAAATTTATAAGAGTGTCATCTGTATTGCAATTATTTTTCAACTGGTCCGGCTTAGCAAATGAGCTAGGTATAATATGATTGGAGATATTGACTAGCATGTGGAATGGGATTGAAAATGGGTTTATTAGAATGTGTAAATGGCCAATAATAGTTTTAGAATTTCTTAATATGTATAGATCTCTTTCTCTATCTCTCTATCTAACAGTAAATAACAGATAATCTTAGGTCCTTCTTAAAGGGGAAGTGAAATGGAGACAATTGATATGGACATTTCTTGTTATTTTGCGTCCGTTTTAAGAAAATGAAACGTAAGTAAGTCCCTCAAAACTTTGCCTGACAATCTTAAACTTTAAAACATGTCTTGGTTATTGACCTATTGAGCAAGATTAGTGGCGCCAGCTCACACATAAACTTTTAGTCTTAACGAATTCGGGCTTTCCTTCTCCAGCAGACTTAGTTGGTATTGTACCTTCGAAATTGGAATGTGGATTAGTCCGAAATCAATGATTTCCGTAGAAAGGAGAATATGTTAAATTTGTCATTCAGTTTTCCACACCTCTAAATATTCTTCGTAGACCCCATAAAGTATATACAATTATGATCAGCATAAGTCGATTTAACGATGTCCGTTACGATGTTGAAATCTCGACACAGTCCATATTATTAAAAATAGGGCTTTGAAATAATATAATGCGTTCTTGTACCGGTGACAGAGTATTGTATGTATAGATTCATATTTTTCAACAGCGCCTATAATGGCTCCCCGATATTTGGTATTTTGATAATTTTAGCTAAGTTTGTTCATGATTTTTGAATTGGGATTGTTTTACCGTTTACCTGTGGTAGATCATTGTATACATATGTGCTTGATTTCATATAGCTCCAATATAATGGTACCTCCCGATATTCGGTATCTTTGGGATTAAACTTCTGCTTGCTTTGGAAAATTGTTATCTATATCGTCAAGATTGTTATCTATATCGTCAACATCGTCAAAAATTAAACTAAGAACCTTAATTTTTGACGATGTTGACGATTTATGCCACATTTTCGGATTTGTCGGATTTATTTCAAAATCGGGATTTGTAGTTCATAATTTTACAACCGGTGTCAAAACATTGTTCATATTGGTCAAAGATTTCCATATAACGATACCTACCGATATTCGGTAATTTAATGATCATAGCCACATTTTCCCCGGTATTTTGAACTTTGTACATAAGACTTGCAATAGATAACAATAATTGAAGTAGAAATTTGTTTCTGCTTTCTTATTGGGCCCATTTAACTGCTCCAACCACTTTATTCTATTTTAAAACTTTAACTGCTTTCTTCAATCGATCTTACTTGTATTTGCATATTAAAATGGAACCAGATACATTTATTTGAAACGTTTTTTTTACATAAGTTCAAGTTTACAAGTTCGGCCCAGCAGATCTTAAAGTTTTTCTAAAAACACTCATTATTAATATTGCCGGAATTTTATTTCCTGTGACCGTTCGATTCCATAACATTCTGTACGCAAATTTGACATGGCTACAGGTGGGTCAATGTAACTAGTAACTTGGTCAACCCATATCTTGTAAAATCACTCACACAAATCTTTGTCTGCTAATCTCTTCAATGCAAATGTATATAACTGAAAGTGGTATCTAATGTACCGTGGAGGTGATTGGATTAATCAGCGTTCTAAGCTAGATTTTACCAAAAATGCATATGGCTTATAGTGGTAGCGTATGGCAGAGTCGCAGCGAATAGGTCAACAAAGGATTGCTTATTTTCTTAGGCGGCCTGAATTTTGCTTTGCATTCCTATGTCCATGTTTCCTCTTTATACTTAAGGAAACTCACGGAATTGGGATAAATATAAAATGAGAAAATATTCGTAAAATTAATAATTTTTAACCGCAGAAACTGGTAAATGTGTTTTAAATTTAGCTTTTCGATATGCAAAACATAGACACCGGTAGCAATATCCAAAACAAGAATTTGGAGAAAACATTAACAACATCAAATATCTACGTACGATCCCATTAACAGGGCAACGCAAACAATAACAAATCACTATGATGAGATTCTACTCAACAAACACACATACTATAAACAATAAATATACATGTTGAATTTTGCTAATAAACGACATATATCCCCATGGTATCGAAAAATAACCTGTTTCTTTTATATAAAACACAAACTGTTTATACAAAATGTTTACGATCATTAGAGTTTGATACTCGAAACACGTTTCACATAATCTGCAAATCGACATCAGCAAATGAATTAAGACGATAACAAGTGTCAATGACTAAGTTCAAAATTGCTTTCCTATGGCAAAATGAAATGGGCTTTTACGGGACAACATTTTTTGATATAGCAGTTGTAGATCATCACACTACCTGCCGGCCCGAAATGCAGACGGTTCAAACAGTGTGGAGTTATAAACCTGAAAACACTGGCCCTTATATCTACTACATTTTCAATACGAAAACAAAGCATCAAAATGGCATGTTATGTTCATTCTATGAAAATAATTACTTTGCATTCTCTCCATCTAAAACGCACAACAAACATTTAGTGGACATGGTTATGCGTATGACAACTTTACACAAGTTCGGAGGGAGGATTCAGATTTGGATATAGCTAACATACATATATATCTTCAACCGATATAATATCAGCGCAAATTGGATAGATTTTGTCACATTCAACCGAATTTTTCAATTCGGCCACAAAATATATATTTTTAATGCAATTACCCTTGAAGTGATATCATACACTCTATAGCAATGTTATTTGGTATGAGAGGTAATAATGTCTCCTGGTGAAAATCGATTGAGAATTGGATATACCTCCCATATACTAGTTTCCTCTGAAACTAAATAATAACTGCTCTAAAGCCATGGTACACATTCTAATAAGTTACATAG